ATGGGACTCCTCAGCAGTATGTACCCACTGCCCGATTAGGAATCGGATTGTGGACATTCAGGTTTAACGGTAAATGAGTTAACCACTCAACTACTGAATAGGAGCTCAGTGGTCCACAGCCTCTTAATCCTGTCAACAAGGGATACAGCGCGACTTCGCACCAAGGTCTTTCGTTGGCGTCCGCTCCAATTCCAACTGCTTCACCCTATAGAATGCTTAATTCTGAGGAGTCACATACCAGAATGAAACAGATGTCCACTGACGCCAGGTTTTCAGTGGTTCTGTAGCGTCACATGTTTCCCCCGAATCAACAGCCTAGGGTTCAACGAGATTCAAAATGAATGCTGACCTTTATAGTTTAATCGGACTAGCTAAGCTGAAGGCATATGATCAAGCATAAACGTCGTATGGCAAGATGTCGTTTTGCGTTGCACTCCTCGTAATCAAAACTCTAGCCAGTTAGTTGGAAAGCATTCGTATTTTGGCATGACCTCGCAAATATACTATTCCATCTGACTACGCTATTGTGTTCTTTCTTGGTCTCGTATCCATGGGTTTGTTACAAGTACGAATAGCTAGTGATTGACCTCTGCGACTGTCAAGTTTGCAAAAGGACAATTCTTAAAATGGTAAGCCTGAGAAAAATTGCGGGTATTACGTAAACGTATAACATTAGAGTGCTCTAGTAGCACCTTATTATGATAACGAAAATTTCCCTTACTGGTAGTTATTTTTACAGCTTTTGTCTACAATAAACTCGTCATAGATGACGGTTCAGAGTATGACTACCATTAGCATCATATTCTCTTTTCGGAGAATGAGTATGGTTGCAGTTTCTGTGAAAAACTTTCAAAAGTAAAATATTCAGTTCTTCCTGCTTGTTCTGCTGTATCCAGCGAACAATCGTCCCAATTTTGATCGTAAAAAGTATTCAAGTTGAAACAACAAATAAATAATCCATTGACAACATCTATATTATCTTTAATTCACTAAATTCACAAAAATACTATATCTTTTAGGTTACTGCCATTAAAGAAATGGGTATTGACAGTCCTTTGACTTAGTCACGGATTGTTAAGCAACATTTGTTTGAGCAGACAGGATAAAACATCTCAAAATGTTATTTATTTGTTGAGTAACTAACATCAACAAGTTGGTTAAGTACATTAGACAATATGAAATACTAGCCGCCGAAAAACTAGACGAAATCTACTGCTATACTAATCAAGGTAGCAAAAATTACTGAGGGATTCATAACGACTGATATTAAAATGGTACTGATGGGATTCGAAAAAAAAGGAATACAATAACATTTTATTCAAAAAACATTTTGAATCAGACTCTCCATTCCAAGTTTAGTTAGTTAAGTACTAAACTTCATCACCATAAGTGAAGCCGATATATGCATTCCTGAATAGTCTATTGATTATTGTACAATATTTCTCTGGATAAAATTTACTTATTTTAGGATTTTCTTTGAAAAACTATAGAACAGCTTAACTACTTTCCCCTATAAATACTTCTCCCCATCAATGTTCAAGTCGTTTCTGTCTAGATGTACGAAATGTGTATACAGTGTATTAATTGAGAGTATGTTAACATGAATGCATTTCACTTGACAAGCTACTGCTACTGAATATGATAAGCTAAATACATTTACTAGTCAATCATGTCTAATGTATTCACAACAAGTATAAGAATACTAAGTAGGAAATAATAAAATTATGGTAAAATATTTCAACCTCGCCTGGTTAACTAGTTTACTAGTTACTAGCCGGTCCTAAGCCCGGGTAAAGAGGGAAGGTTGGGCATAGGGCTAGCAACCCTACCCCGTAAAACAAATCTAACCGCTAAAGAAACTTCAAAGCACAAACAAAATATAAAAAATGAAAACAAACTTATTCCCCGCTGGAATCGGAGAGGCGAAATGACGCCAGTTGGTGAAAGCCTTCGGGAAGCCAATTGGCCGATGTGTCTTCTCTCGATGAAAGCGAAAGTAAACGTGGGGACATGGAATGTCCGTACGATGTTTGAACCCAGTAAGGCAGCCCAGATTGCAAAGGAGATGAGAAGGTATAACATCGAAGTGCTTGGGATTTGCGAAAGCAGATGGAATGGGAGTGGACTCTCCAAACTGTCAACTGGAGAATCAATAATCTACTCCGGTCACCCAGACGCCAACCACGAGCACACTGAGGGAGTGGCTATCATGATGTCCTCAAGAGCATCGAAGGCTCTCATGCAGTGGGAACCAATCTCCTCCAGGATCATGACAGCAAGATTCAACTCAAAAGGAAGAAAGGTCACAATCATACAATGTTATGCACCTACAAATAATGCAGAGCAAGAGAAAAAGGAGGAATTCTACAGACAACTTCAGTCAACACTGGACAAGACGTCAGTTGGCGATATCAAAATTCTAATGGGCGACATGAATGCCAAACTGGGAGGGGACAACACGGGAAGAGAACTAACCATGGGTCGAGAGGCGCTAGGTGAAATGAATGAGAATGGAGAATTGTTTGCAGAATTCTGTGCATTCAACGATTTGGTGATTGGAGGCAGTGTGTTCAGGCACAAGGATATCCACAAAGCGACATGGATTTCACCAGATGGACACACTAAAAACCAAATCGACTTTATCTCAATCTCAAGAAAATGGAGACGCAGTCTACTTAACACAAGGTCAAGAAGAGGAGCAGATGTAGGTTCAGACCACTATCTAGTGCAAGGAACCTTCCAAATCAAGTTAAAAGCCTTCAAGGAAGCTGGTGATAGACCTCAATTCAAGTACAACACTCGGAAACTGAAGGATGAAACTACAAAGGAGATCTTCAAAGCAGCCATCAAGACAAAATGGGAGACGTCGAGGGACATCCCTGAAGAAACCTGTGTAGAAGAACACTGGAAGTCTTTGAAAGCTATGTGGAAAGAAACCTGCACAACAGTATTAGGAAGGAAGAAGAAAGAAGACAAGGAATGGATCTCGACGGATACCTGGAAGCTGATAGAGGAGAGGAGGATGGTGAAGATAAACCAGTGCAAGGATGCTCAACGACAAGAGGAACTGAGCACAATGTATAAAACACTGGATAAAGAAGTGAAGAAGAGTGCACGCAAAGACAAAAGACACTTCTACGAAACACTGGCAAGTGAAGCAGAACAGGCTGCAGGTAAGAGAGACCTGACGACATTGTATCAAATAACCAGGTTGCTATCAGGGAAGAGACCAACACAGATGAAACCAATAAAAGATGAAGAAGGAAATTTAATTACAAAAGAAGAGAAACAGAGGAAACGATGGGCCGACCACTTCAAGAAGCTCTTGAATCGACCACCACCTGCACTTCGTCCAGAAATACCACCTGCAGCCGCTGAATTACAAGTGAACATAAATCCCCCAACGAAAATGGAAGTCCTGAACGCCATAAAGCTACTGAAATGCGGGAAAGCAGCAGGACCAGATGGAATACCGCCAGAAGCACTGAGAACAGATGCAGAGACAACAGCGGACATGCTCACACCACTATTGCAGAAGGTGTGGAAGGAAGAGAAGGTACCTGACGATTGGAAGAAGGGTTACCTTGTCAAACTGCCGAAGAAGGGAGACCTCAGTGCTTGCAAGAACTGGCGCGGAATCACTCTCCTGTCCACCCCAAGTAAAATATTAAGCCGCATCATCCTGGAGAGGCTTAAAGACGCACTGGATTCAAAACTGCGACCGGAACAGGCAGGCTTCAGGAAGTACAAATCATGTGCAGACCAAATTGCAACGCTTCGTATCATCATAGAACAGAGCGTAGAATGGCAATCAGCTCTATACCTCAACTTCATCGACTTTGAGAAGGCCTTTGACAGCGTCGACCGAGAAGTAATTTGGAAACTGCTTCAATACTACGGAGTACCGCAAACCTTTATCCGCCTCATTCAACAACTATATGAAGATGCCACATGCCAAGTAATCCACAATGGGAAGCTCAGTGATGCCTTTGAAGTGAAGACAGGAGTGAAACAAGGTTGCCTACTATCCCCCATGATATTCCTAATTGTGGTGGACTGGATCATGCAGCAAACAGTAGGCAGCGAGAAGAGGGGGATACACTGGACGACGGAAAAGAACCTAGAAGACTTGGATTTCGCCGATGACTTATGCCTAATGTCACATAAACTTGAAGATCTGCAGGCAAAAACTAACAAGTTGACAGAGGAGGCAGCGAAGACGGGACTTCAGGTGAATATAGAGAAGACAGAAGTGATGAAGATACCGCACCACCACCATCAACAACAACAACAACAAACTCCAATCACCGTCAACGGGAGAAACTTAAAGGAAGTAACCTCCTTCACTTATCTAGGAAGCACTGTTTCAACTACAGGCGGGACGGACGAGGACGTCAAAGTCAGAATCGGAAAAGCAAGACAGGCGTTCATTAGCCTGAAACCAGTGTGGAGATCTTCTGCACTCAGCATGCGGAACAAGATACGGATTTTCAACACCAACGTCAAGTCAGTGCTCTTGTATGGCTCAGAGACTTGGCGCGTCACGAAAGGCATTTCCAATAAACTACAGACATTCATCAACAACTGCTTACGCTCGCTGCTGAAGATCAGATGGCCAGAAAAAATAAGCAACAAGGAACTCTGGGAACGAACCAACCAAGAACCTATCACGCAACAAATATGCAGGAAGAAGTGGAGATGGATTGGCCATGCACTGAGAAGGCCGACTGAGGACATCACGCGTCAGGCCCTCGAGTGGAATCCCCATGGGAAGCGACGAGTTGGACGTCCGAGGGTGACATGGAGGAGGTCGTGCGAGGAGGAAATGAGAGCTTCTGGGCTGTCGTGGAACCAGGTTCAAAAGATCTCAGAGAACAGAGGTCACTGGAGGCGTGCTACTGAAGCCCTATGTTCCACTAGGAACCCAAGGGACTAATAATAAAATAATAATAATAATGGTAAAATATTTCACTAACATATTTATCATTGATGAATAGAATTTACTTCCTGTAAAATTTTAACCACCAGTCATCGGTACTTTTATCTGATGAAATGCATAATACTTCTAAACCTCTTTGATCTTCAATATTTAAACCAAAGAACATACTAGGTAAATTCTTTATATCACGTTCACGTTTGATAGCAGCAGAATATGTTGATACACAGTTGAGGATAGCTAGATCAATTCTTGCCAATAATGCCATATCTTCTTCAGGTCTTCGATGAGTCGACCACACAACTTGTTGTATCTGTTATTATTATTATTTTTTAATTGAAATCAAAATTAAGTAGAATGTACACATCCATACTTAGACTTACTGAAAATCCAATAAAACAACAATAAAAGCATCAATTCTAAATACATTTGTAAGTACTTAAGATGATGAATAGATCATAGAAATAGTCTGAATGAAACATTGAATCCAGTTATTTATTCAAAGAACTAAAACTTAAACCAAAAAACGAGGTGGATATAGGAAGTTATTTTGTTTTCAAGACATCAAATTTAGTCACATATCAACTTTCATATACTTACAGCATATTTATATAGTTTAGCAATAGTTATTTTGAAGAAATATAGCTGAAAAAAAATACTTCAGTTCAAAATTCAATAGCATACATCATATTATGAATTACATCCTACCTACAAGATAAAAATCATTAGGCATTATTTCATACTTTCTCAAATTTGTCTACTTGTACAATACTAATTCCTTGAGAAAAAGTATTGAAGCATCTTAAGGAATTTTGTTGACATAAAAAACATTTATGCACTAAATGAGGCAAGTCGTTATATCGTATTTTCATCAACTATCGACCTATAGCTCATTGGTTTAAGTGGGTTACAGGTTTAAACGCCACTTCATCTATCTCATCCACTATACAATAGATATGGTTCATTGTTTAGTGTTTATTGCCCCTAACATATAACATTTTTCGATTTTTATTTCCAATCAAGATGTTTTACTGCCCATTTCTTAATTTTTATTGATTTTATAACAGATTACAGTAACTGCTTTTTAAAACAATAATTCATTCTGTAATAAATAGCAAACTATCACTGTTTCCAGCCACTAATATTCTTTCTTATGCTACACATGTACACGAGAACTTCACCTAGTTGTTTCAGATGAATGAAACATTTTCAAGTCATAGTTGATAATATTGTTTTGAATGATAATGGAGTCTTTAAAATTAAACTAAATTAGAAAATAATAAAATATTTACTACAATTTTTTATGGATCGAAAGGAATGTAAATACATACGGTCCAAATTTTCAATTTACCAGTATAAATACTAGTCTGCCAAACTATGGCTATCTCAGATAAACAGAATGATAATCGATATAATGCTCCCTCTTTCTAATTCAATCGATAGTAACGCAAAACGAATTCACATGGTAGTCCGGCAAAACGCATGATGAGTGATCAGTAGTCGGACTATGTCAGGCTGGAAACCCAGTGATCACTGGTTCGAATCCGGCTGCGGCCCAGATTTTCATTCCAGCTTCAATCATCATCCAGTATAAAATAAATTAAAGGTTGCGTAATATGTTGGGAGTGAGTCATCAGCATTCATATAACTTCACTTCGAGGCACAGCTTCACGACAATAGCCATCCACTCAGCATCCTGGAGCATATTCATGCAGTAGGCAACGAGGCACACCTTTTATGCAAGAGCAAATTATACTAGCTGGCTCATGGAACCTTGGTATGTGGAGCCGTAAACCATCTGTTGGAAATCTTGTACGTAAACCAGTGAGCAACAGCTCCACTTAGTACCATCTCCTACAACACAAACAAGATTGTATTCAAGAAAACAGTTATATAAATCTTATGTCATTTCCCAAATGAAGTTATTTGGGTTTCCTAATTATTTCTGCTAGGTGTAGGTGTGTTTTGTGTGCTTTACTAGTAGTAAATAAATGTACCTACATTGTACTATTTTGCTTGATTTCAAATGAAAAAATATAACAATATTTTTTTAAAAATTTAATAAAGAAGTTTATATATGTGATTTAATAATTTCCATTGTAACATCAAGAACAAGACATTCAGCGAAGAGACTCTTTTCCACGAATTTATTTTCATGCTGTACAATCGTATATATATGATATTTGAAAAAATTATATCCCGTGAAGAAAACTAAACACTAATGGTGATGGCAATAATAATAGAGCGGATGATGACATAGGCATTTGTGATTATAATAACAATTGAAGTGCGAATGATAACAAATAGATTATGTAAGATCCATCTACAGAAAACCAACGTGGAACGGACAACTAACTAATTTTCATAGTTGGGTGCCCATCAACAAAAAAAGAAATCTTATTCACTCTCTTTGCTATCGAATAAGAAATATCTGTAGTGACGATTGTATCGATGAAGAGCTATCTTTTTTAAAAAGCACACTTGTTGAAAACGCTTACCCTAGCCGTTTTATTGATAAAAATATGCGGGAAAGAAACACTAAACCGGTCATCCACTCGGTCTCAAAGAAAAGACTGTTTATGAGCCTAGAGTTTAAAGGTGACCTAGCATCGGATGTACTGAAGAATCGTTTTACCAGATCAATCAATAGGACTTTCTTCGTAGCAAGACTTCAATTGACTTATACCAGCCGCAACCTATTCTCCGCCTGCGCTAAAGACAAGCTTCCTCGTTTGGTCGCCTCTATGTGCATCTATCAGTTCACCTGCTCTTGTGGAGCAAGGTACATCGGCCGTAGCCAGAGAATGCTTTCTACAAGTATACGAGAACAGGTTCCTCCTTAAGTTTTATAAAGGTGAAAAAAAGTCTGTTAGAAGTTCGATTCTAGAAAATTTGATTGACTTCCATCACATAACAAATCCAGACGATGACTATAAAATTATTTATCAAATTCGCCCAGAACTCCCACGTTCTCTTCGTTTCCAACTCCTTAAAACAGCGGAGGCTTTAGCTATTCATGAACTAAGACCTGATCTGTGTGTACAAAAGAAGTATGTGCAGTCACTGTCTTTATCATGGCCAAAACATTTTCCCACCCCATTAGCTCCCCCTCCCACTTTGTTAATTTAACCTTTGTATCCTTCCTTTATCGCCATTATTGTTATTATAATCGCCTTCACTTTAATTAGTTTCCGGAGTTATTTCACTTAATTGCCTTAATCGCTTTAGAAAACATTGACTTCATCTTGTCCAACTTGTCTAATGCCATTACATAATACTTAATTGATTTACCATTTCCAACAATTTTTTCACCCCCTTCTGAGTTATATGCTCTCTATTTACCATTCCATATATTACATAATCTATTTATTATCATTCGCACTTCAATTGTTATTATAATCACAAATGCCTATGTCATCACCCGTTCTATTATTATTGTCATCATCATATAGTGTTTAGTTTCCTTCACGGGATATAATTTTTTTCAAATATCATATATATACGATTGTACAGCATGAAAATAAGTTCGTGGAAAAGAGTCTCTTCGCTGAATATCTTGTTCTTTATATATGTGAGATAATTCCATCGAACAACTTGATTAAACTTGATTTAAACTTAAGTATATTTTCCAGTAACCTCGCCTGGTTAACTAGTTTACTAGTTACTAGCCGGTCCTAAGCCCGGGTAAAGAGGGAAGGTTGGGCATAGGGCTAGCAACCCTACCCCGTAAAACAAATCTAACCGCTAAAGAAACTTCAAAGCACAAACAAAATATAAAAAATGAAAACAAACTTATTCCCCGCTGGAATCGGAGAGGCGAAATGACGCCAGTTGGTGAAAGCCTTCGGGAAGCCAATTGGCCGATGTGTCTTCTCTCGATGAAAGCGAAAGTAAACGTGGGGACATGGAATGTCCGCACGATGTTTGAACCCAGTAAGGCAGCCCAGATTGCAAAGGAGATGAGAAGGTATAACATCGAAGTGCTTGGGATTTGCGAAAGCAGATGGAATGGGAGTGGACTCTCCAAACTGTCAACTGGAGAATCAATAATCTACTCCGGTCACCCAGACGCCAACCACGAGCACACTGAGGGAGTGGCTATCATGATGTCCTCAAGAGCATCGAAGGCTCTCATGCAGTGGGAACCAATCTCCTCCAGGATCATGACAGCAAGATTCAACTCAAAAGGAAGAAAGGTCACAATCATACAATGTTATGCACCTACAAATAATGCAGAGCAAGAGAAAAAGGAGGAATTCTACAGACAACTTCAGTCAACACTGGACAAGACGTCAGTTGGCGATATCAAAATTCTAATGGGCGACATGAATGCCAAACTGGGAGGGGACAACACGGGAAGAGAACTAACCATGGGTCGAGAGGCGCTAGGTGAAATGAATGAGAATGGAGAATTGTTTGCAGAATTCTGTGCATTCAACGATTTGGTGATTGGAGGCAGTGTGTTCAGGCACAAGGATATCCACAAAGCGACATGGATTTCACCAGATGGACACACTAAAAACCAAATCGACTTTATCTCAATCTCAAGAAAATGGAGACGCAGTCTACTTAACACAAGGTCAAGAAGAGGAGCAGATGTAGGTTCAGACCACTATCTAGTGCAAGGAACCTTCCAAATCAAGTTAAAAGCCTTCAAGGAAGCTGGTGATAGACCTCAATTCAAGTACAACACTCGGAAACTGAAGGATGAAACTACAAAGGAGATCTTCAAAGCAGCCATCAAGACAAAATGGGAGACGTCGAGGGACATCCCTGAAGAAACCTGTGTAGAAGAACACTGGAAGTCTTTGAAAGCTATGTGGAAAGAAACCTGCACAACAGTATTAGGAAGGAAGAAGAAAGAAGACAAGGAATGGATCTCGACGGATACCTGGAAGCTGATAGAGGAGAGGAGGATGGTGAAGATAAACCAGTGCAAGGATGCTCAACGACAAGAGGAACTGAGCACAATGTATAAAACACTGGATAAAGAAGTGAAGAAGAGTGCACGCAAAGACAAAAGACACTTCTACGAACACTGGCAAGTGAAGCAGAACAGGCTGCAGGTAAGAGAGACCTGACGACATTGTATCAAATAACCAGGTTGCTATCAGGGAAGAGACCAACACAGATGAAACCAATAAAAGATGAAGAAGGAAATTTAATTACAAAAGAAGAGAAACAGAGGAAACGATGGGCCGACCACTTCAAGAAGCTCTTGAATCGACCACCACCTGCACTTCGTCCAGAAATACCACCTGCAGCCGCTGAATTACAAGTGAACATAAATCCCCCAACGAAAATGGAAGTCCTGAACGCCATAAAGCTACTGAAATGCGGGAAAGCAGCAGGACCAGATGGAATACCGCCAGAAGCACTGAGAACAGATGCAGAGACAACAGCGGACATGCTCACACCACTATTGCAGAAGGTGTGGAGGAAGAGAAGGTACCTGACGATTGGAAGAAGGGTTACCTTGTCAAACTGCCGAAGAAGGGAGACCTCAGTGCTTGCAAGAACTGGCGCGGAATCACTCTCCTATCCACCCCAAGTAAAATATTAAGCCGCATCATCCTGGAGAGGCTTAAAGACGCACTGGATTCAAAACTGCGACCGGAACAGGCAGGCTTCAGGAAGTACAAATCATGTGCTGACCAAATTGCAACGCTTCGTATCATCATAGAACAGAGCGTAGAATGGCAATCAGCTCTATACCTCAACTTCATCGACTTTGAGAAGGCCTTTGACAGCGTCGACCGAGAAGTAATTTGGAAACTGCTTCAATACTACGGAGTACCGCAAACCTTTATCCGCCTCATTCAACAACTATATGAAGATGCCACATGCCAAGTAATCCACAATGGGAAGCTCAGTGATGCCTTTGAAGTGAAGACAGGAGTGAAACAAGGTTGCCTACTATCCCCCATGATATTCCTATTGTGGTGGACTGGATCATGCAGCAAACAGTAGGCAGCGAGAAGAGGGGGATACACTGGACGACGGAAAAGAACCTAGAAGACTTGGATTTCGCCGATGACTTATGCCTAATGTCACATAAACTTGAAGATCTGCAGGCAAAAACTAACAAGTTGACAGAGGAGGCAGCTAAGACGGGACTTCAGGTGAATATAGAGAAGACAGAAGTGATGAAGATACCGCACCACCACCATCAACAACAACAACAACAAACTCCAATCACCGTCAACGGGAGAAACTTGAAGGAAGTAACCTCCTTCACTTATCTAGGAAGCACTGTTTCAACTACAGGCGGGACGGACGAGGACGTCAAAGTCAGAATCGGAAAAGCAAGACAGGCGTTCATTAGCCTGAAACCAGTGTGGAGATCTTCTGCACTCAGCATGCGGAACAAGATACGGATTTTCAACACCAACGTCAAGTCAGTGCTCTTGTATGGCTCAGAGACTTGGCGCGTCACGAAAGGCATTTCCAATAAACTACAGACATTCATCAACAACTGCTTACGCTCGCTGCTGAAGATCAGATGGCCAGAAAAAATAAGCAACAAGGAACTCTGGGAACGAACCAACCAAGAACCTATCACGCAACAAATATGCAGGAAGAAGTGGAGATGGATTGGCCATGCACTGAGAAGGCCGACTGAGGACATCACGCGTCAGGCCCTCGAGTGGAATCCCCATGGGAAGCGACGAGTTGGACGTCCGAGGGTGACATGGAGGAGGTCGTGCGAGGAGGAAATGAGAGCTTCTGGGCTGTCGTGGAACCAGGTTCAAAAGATCTCAGAGAACAGAGGTCACTGGAGGCGTGCTACTGAAGCCCTATGTTCCACTAGGAACCCAAGGGACTAATAATAATAATATAATAATATTTTCCAGTAAATTGCTTTAAATGTAAAGTGAGGTGGTGTCACGAAACCCAGTTTACTATACAGTCAATATGCATTTCAAATTGATTCTGTAACTAGTTGATAAACAGTATTGTCCTTGGTAGATAATGAGTTTACTCACAAGTCATTATTTGTGACTGTGGTATAGTCAGATAGAATATAATATTTGATTTATTAACAGTAAACTCTAAAGTCTTAGTCCCAACAATCATAACTAAACAGTGCAACTGATTTGTTTCGTATATCGGGACGTAGAGTGTGCAGCCAGTGCAATGGTAAGAAACAATAATACATGAACATAAAAATTACCCCACACTGTTAAAATCAATACTAATCCTTACTAACCTACTTGGTAACTCTTCATCCTGAAGAATTCAGTATTTAAAATAAATGTACAATGAAAGTATACCACAGTTAGTAGGCTTCGGTTACAATGCCTCAACAATCATACGCAACATTTTATAAAATTCTGTTTTGTATTATATAGTTCAATGACAAAGGATACTTTCGTGAAACAAGTGATTAATCAGTTGTCAAATACGACATATAAATCAGCAAAATGCAGGGATCGAAGAGTTCTGAAAATGATGCAGATGGAGGTAGATCGTTAGGGGCTAACAATTGTTGTATAAAACAGTTGCTTTCAATATCATAATGAGGCACTACTACAACAAGGGAGATCAATATAGGTTACTTTGTTGAATACAAGAAGAAATAGAATTTCCAATAAGTGAAGGAAAATTATTCCCTTCAGTATAGTGCAACACTGATGTAATACATTTAGAGAAATCCTCTGAGGAATAAAAGACAGTCAAGAAATCATATGGATACGATGCACTGCTTAAGATGACATATAGAAAAGTATCTAACATTTGCAAAAGTTCTACTGCTGCCATCTATCTTGATATCAAGGAGCGGATACTTACTGGCACCAATAGAGTCTGCAACTGATTGCACAAAGTCAGAGTAGAATATTTCCCAAACAAAAACTTCAAAGAAGTCAACACCAAGAAGCTTGATACCTTAATCAGTGGCGTTTCGGATCCGATGAGAAGGCACTTCTTTAAGAGTAGTATAGCACCATAGTCGCTCAGAGTCATATATGGCTAACACATGCATTATTTATGATTTGTCGAATTTCTGCATCAGTGATTGCCCAATTTTATACTAAAGACTCTCGAACGTGAATATTAAGTTTAAAGAGGTAACCGATTCCGAACCAATCAGATGGTATGGAATATTCGACAGTTTGCAGCTTTGAAATAGAATGTTGCAAGTAAGTCTTATGAGCTACAGATAGATTTACAGCTAAAATTATTTCGAAAATTTGACTTCTTCCTGGCCGAAGCAAATGAATTAGACTAACTACATTCATAATACGTCCTATGTAGAATCAAGCATACTTAGCAGCTAATTGTATCAGATATAACCAAATAGTAAGCTTAACAGAAATGAGAAAAAGGTTTTCTTTGTACTCATCTATGAACTTCGCATGAAAACAGGACTATGAAGCAGCAGATTTAAAATGACGATATGTAACAATAAACTGCCCATGTATGGTAAACTTCTGCTACATTCTAACCCCTTTGTCTTGCACCAGATGGCATATACATTATGCAGTTCTGCGGATCCATTAATCTTAAGTGTTATTTTGATAGTTAAAGAGCAAAAATTGAGTAGGCACGTTTTGATATCATCGAATTTTTGAAAATAAGATATAGTGTTTTGAACTGGCTGTTTGTTGACCATCCTTCAGAACACAAAAGCGTCATATAATACATGAAAGCTTTCGATCATACTCGCTGGAACTATCTAGTTCTCTTTATTCATATACGATTAACAAAATTCTGTCTATCATTTGACTATCTGAGATAGCCATAGTTTGGCAGACTAGTATTGATACTGCGTGATGATTGGATATGAAATGAAGTATTTGAACCACAGCCGGATTCGAGTAGTCAAGCAAAACCCTTGGTGAAGTGAAATAAAAATCTGATCAGTAGTCGGATTTCGTAGCTCAGTTAATAGAGAGCACCGCGGCCGGTAACCTAGTGGTCGCTGGTTCCAATCCGGCCGCGGTTTAAATTTTCATTTCACCTTCAATCATCACCCAGTATAAAAATTCTATCTGCTTGAATATTGAAAAGTAATATAAATGTTCTGTTCAACATTTTTTTCAAGTAAATAAACAACTAAACGAAATTACATAACTTACTGTTGTGTTAATTAGGTAATGACGAATTGATTGTAGCATAGGATCATTATCAGTTGCTATATAAACGCTTTTGCCTTCATCAAACGAACCCCATAGAAGATTGTTTGAAGAATTATTTCTTTTGAAGGTGTACACATTGCTTCAGTAACTTTATACGGAGGAAATTCATTAAAATCACCATGGCATTGTGCACTTGAAAACAAGACATTTAGGCCACTCTTCAAATGTGAACAAGCATTTAACTGTAATAAGTAAAAAGCAACATAATAAATGTAATAAGTAAAACAAAATGAAAAACGAACTATAAAATGTACATGAGAAGATTTCACATGAAGAATGTGGTTAGTATCATTGTTCTCAAAGATGAAAATATTAACTACAAGTGTAATCAAGGCCGTCATTTCACTCTCTGAATTAGGCAGCTAAAACTACAGGCCAGTCATATACAATATCTAATAGATGAAGCGAAAGATTGTGTTCAGTATGAAAACAACTAAGAATGAAGCTGAACGGCAGCTTCTACACAAACGTCTGTGGTTTATTGTAGGTGTAACTCATTGATTTAAGTATTTGACTTCCAAGCTATGTGTTAGAGCTCAAAACTCGCCTGTAACCTACTCCAGCTTAAATGACCAACTAGTATCCTAAACCCTCAAAACAATAATTTTAACGTGCTTGGTTGTGGCTAGCAGAAGAATCCAGGACGCGTTTCGTCCTATCTGGGACTCGCCAGCTGGATGTACATGGACCCCACTGAGTGATATTGTCCCCGAACCTCATACTCACCGCTTCAAACACCAAAGAGGTACCCAACAAGCCACTGAGGCACGATAGCCATCTCTGGTACAATGGGTGTTAGTTATAACTATTTGCTGATATACTTGTGATTCTCTGTTGTTATACTGGGATGAATTGTTCGGCCTCTGTTAGCTTCTGGGCTCCTATGCGGATGCCTCGATATTGCCTGAATATTTTTTACGGTAATTTACTTGGTTGCGGGCAGTAGAGGAATCCAGGACGTGCACAGAAACAACATCACTCACTAGGGCGCAAGTACATCCAGCTGACATCCAACTGGTCCTAAGTAGGGCCAAACGCGTGTCCTGGGTTCCTCTGCTAGCCACAACCAAGTAAATTACCGTAATAAATATTCAGCAACAGCGACGGCATCCTCATAGGAGCCCATATACCAACAGAGGTAGAACAATTCGACCCATTATAACAAAGGAGAATTATATCAACAAATGCTAATAACTGTGACTAATACCCCAGTAAATATAGCTGAACCAGAGTGAGCTGAATTATTAATGGTTCATTTTTTTTTATTCCCACGTTTTACTCTCATCCAGTATTCACCTGATGAAATGTTAGTTGACAACAATACAAAGAGATAATGATGTCACAAAAAAGGCAATTTCAGCAATTCAAAAAATAAAGTACTTTATTCGTCTATTCAGCACGATCCAGCACATTATCATCAAACAATGAGGCTAGAATTATGTACACAAAAGCCGTTGGTGTACACACCTTACTCGTCCACAGCAGTCCACTAACTGGTATACAGTGTAATTTAGTTTCCCAAAATCTCATGAAAATGTACACAATTACTTGTTTCATTTCGTGTGTTTACTCATGATTTCGATTATCATCTTCAACTCTTATGCTTTGCTCAATATTAGTTCATCAGTCAGTTCCTAATCTATCATTTATCCAAGCTTTGTGAAATGTATCATTGCACAGTGCAAGTCGTAACATCAATTCAGTATACAAGTAATTGCCATTACTCAGCTCCGTGTGATACACTCGATGTCATCAGATTTTCAATGTAAAAGTAAGCTATTTCAAAGGTTAAATCTGATGTAATAAAACCACTTAAACATTAGTGATTTAATAAGTAATAATTGATCACCTTGATGTAAATTAATGCGTATATGTAGTACACGATTGGAAAATTCCCCATTTTTGCGGATTTTATTAATTCTAAGGTGGTATTCATCGCGGATTGACATTAGTTAGAGAACCATCGGAAACCTGGTAGCGCGAAAGAGCTGTTTCGTCTCAGTGTGAGACTCTTCGGCAGTGCAAACCACTACCCCGCCCCGCCAGGGGTCGAACCGAGGACCCTAGGGTCTCATGGAGAGCACATTACCATTGAGTCGGGACCCAATAGTCCACGCCTTCCTAATTCATCTAATTTGCAATATAGTGAGACCTTTATCCAACGTTATCGTTGCGTAACTATCCTCACATCCAACCTGATTTGCCCTAACGGTTATGAATTGTTATTATAACTTCATAAAAATCTTATTTGCAAGCAAATCACTAGTGAGCACTGGACAAATGTCACAAGAATGTTAATACACAGAAACAGACACATGGGAAGTAACCATGATATATTTTGGATAACTGTGTCGGATTAATAATATCAGCATAAGGTTTAATAGGTTCGTATGTGAATACTAGAAGACAGCTAAGATTATTAATCGCATCTTATTCGAAACATCCAGTAGAACTGAACACGAAACTATATTGAATCCCATTTCAAAAGTTTGATTAGATGAAACTTTCGGTACCATTCACTTTACAATTCAGTAAATAATACTTCTGCTAAGGTTTTTTAAACACTATGAAATGAAGAATAGTGACAGTGTGTCTATGAAGGTGTTCAGAAATGTGTGAATATCTTTCAAATCACGCATTATAACAATGATTATTAAAAACTGACTAATTCCTTAGAAATAAATTCTCATTATAACTGAAAAGATATTTGAATGAATGAAGAATATTCTTCTAGAAAGCATCTTTTTCAGGTTATATGGTCATGTGGAGCAATTAAGCGCGAACAAAATAATGAGATCTCCTACAGCAGTCCGTTAATAATAATGATAATTCCTGACATTACCGTTCACGTAAGAGTTTTCTGCCGAGAATTCCCAAACTGTATAATATCATTGACAAACTGTTATACGAAATTTCACTATTGTTGATGCAAAACCACACAGTATAGACATATAACTGTTAAAATCTGAGGAAAAAGTCATTCAGAAGAAGAATATTCTTTGTCCATTCAAATGTCTTTTGAAATTCAAGGGGATCGTTGCATGAAGCCAAGTGACTGTTGCTATTGTCATTGAGACTAGAATGTATTGTCCTGTTTCACAAGCTATAAAGTTGTTTGTCGCATCAATGATATGTACAATGGGCAACTTGTTGAAGAGACATAAATCATAATTAAAGCGAATTTATTCGCTTGCCTCGTGGTTGGTTTGCAGGCAGTGATTTGATCTAATAAGTATTATATGCTAAATTTGTACATATTTCTTTTCTAATAGTTTACATCAACAACAACAAAAACAGAGAGCACAGCATACGTAGCCAAATTAACGTTTCCCAAAATACAAATAATCTCACTTAACATGCAAGTGAAAGATAGTAAATAAATTGTAACTAACGGCTAAAGTAATAATTCAAATTTGGATGAAAAGTCCTGACTAGGCAGCCAGTGTGAAGACGATCAAGCGGTAGTGATACGTCATGAATTCATATGGTAGTCGGACAAAACGCATGGTGATTGAAATGAAATAAAAATCTGGTCAGCAGTCGGACTTCGTAGCTCAGTTAATAGAGAGCATCGGGCCAGAAACCAGATGGTCGCTAGTTCGAATCATGTCGCGGTCCAAATTTTCATTTTACCTTCAATCATCACCCAGTATAAGGTATTAATGATCAACTATTCATATCTTTTCAATTTATCAGTTACTCATTTCTTCAGTCTAGTAAAGTCAAACTAATCCTCCTCCTTGAAATTTATACTTACAAATAAATCAAGTGGCAACATCAACTTGATACCGTACTTCAAAAAACCAGATCTGAATATGAGAAGAAAGAGAATTCTCTGAAAAATAAATCCAACTCGATTGTTTTAACGGTATGAAGGAAGTAAATAGAGTGGAGAAAAAAAACACAGAAATCCTCAGGTGATTTAACGTTAATGAAGAACAGTATTAAATCTCCCCATTCAAAAAAAAAATAGTAAAACTCACAAAATCTCTTCCATTTCTTAAATGAATCCCAACTATTGGCTTGATCAACGAGTGACGAATATAACTATCAATCAACGTATTAATATTACTACTCCATTCTAAATAACGATGAAATATTCGATTTTCAGGACGAATAGGAAATGCTGAAGGTGGTCCCACGAAAGCAAGTACTGGATATATTTCCCGTGGAAATCTTGATAGTCAAAATATTTTATAGTATATTTCAAAAAACTTACAAATCTTCCCATTTCTCTCTTGAACTTTCTGCATTTAGAGGAAAATAAAAACTGGAACCTGTAAAGTTGATACTAAACATATCCCAAATTCTTTGAAAGGATTTCCATCTTTTGCATTACAATCATTAACTAAAGGACCTGACCTAGGTCGAAAGCAAATTACTTTCTATTTTAAATTGGCCTCAGAAGAAATACCTTTACGTTTAGTTGGTGGCCATAGTAAAGCAGCTTTCTTGGTCATAAAATCTTCTTGTGTAATAAAGCGATGAATTGTTGAAAGTGTAGTTATATTGAATAGAGTTTTGAAAGGTACAAATTCCTATAGATTATTAACTTTATTCCAGACACTACTACTTACTGCCTTCCATGATGACATAATATTCCATGGAGGTAAAACAAGTGTACGATTCATTTTAATAGCAAAGGGAATCATACCCAAGAATTGTTCTATCTGATTTCCTAGTCGACCTTTAAATATCAGAGTAATACTTTCCATAAAACATACCCATACAAGGACAATAAGTGATGTATGCGACGCTAAATGGAACTGTACCATGGAAAATAATTACCGTAAGCAAATCCATGAATATTATTGAGTTATTAATCTTCATTAACTAAAACGTTGAACAAAATTTTGTATAAAAATGACACATTACAGAAACTTTAACACATGAATGTTGATTCAAATACACAATAAGAATCAAAAGTGAATTCCCGACACTGTATTCACTAAAATATTTCAGAATTATGTCATCTTTTTTATTGGCACCTATATGTCACAAATCTAAATCAGCATCCAGAAGACAAACTGAAACAGGATTTGGAAATCATAGCAATCATCAAACACAATTTTGAGAATAGAAAGTTTTCAAAGAAACCAGTGATGTGTCAGACTACTATTCAGAAGTGTGGTTGAATAACTGAATAGCATTACTATTATCTCACAAACCCTGATAGATATTAGGGTCAATGTTCTTTGAAAACAGTGGCTCTTGAAGAAGCTCATCCAGTTATATTTGAATAAAAGCTTCCCTTAAACTTGAATGGATGAAAGCTTAAAGCCAGGCTTAATAAATGAGTATTGTACCACATGGCTAGTTTCAACCATTAGCTGTCCAAATAATAATGAAGGAGAAAACTATGCATAAGTTCAATACATCTTTTTAAAATCATAGGTTTACTAATTACATTGCATCAATTACCATAGAATGAACTATATCTCAGTGTGAGTTGAAACTCAAGCTAATTACAAAAAACTCATCAGAATCCTATTCTTCATCACTTCTAGCAACTTATTTAATTCAGAATTCGACTTTCACTAATACAATAGTCCCGTAATATATTAGCTAGTTGTTAAACCATTTGAAATCGATCAACATGATCCATTTTAGGCGAATATGTACCAATTACGAAATGTTTTCTGAAGGCAGTACGGTCAGGAGCGCATAACAAGAATATCGGGTTTTACGACGGGTGCACTACTATATACTGATTTCACGGCTTCATTGATGACACATTGAAGAAATCTAGAATAATAAACAACAATCATGTAAACTAGCAACCAGATACACGTCTGTCAACTAGGCTGTGGATCACGTTTATTGAGTGCGAACTTATGATACTACTCTATTGTGTTGGTCCATGGACTATGGATCCGTGACTTAAAAGTTAAGCACCTAAACCAGTTAGTCACTCCTTTAATTTGAAATAAGAAGTCTTATCGACATACTTTTTAACTTACAATGGTTCTCAGACAACATTACTTAACACCTAGTTAGAAAGTCATTTACATATGCTAGTAGTATCCATGAACGTGAACTCAGTATTTTAACTGTTTTAAAAGCATTTACTATGTAGTAGGTTGAATTTGTCCTTGTAAATCCAAAAGCTTTGTAGTAGGTCTGAATGAAACTGATCGAAATTATGAACTATCGTTTTGAACAGGACGTATTACTGATCAAGTAAAGATTGAACCAAAGAATTTAATTGACTCTGAAATATTATTTTCCTCAAAAGATTTTTTTCAGCATGAGCCGTTATGAGTTAGTGACTTCTCATATACATACATAGCTTCTGCAGCATCGTATTTCAACATCAATGTATTGCAGTATAAAGGCTACTATAATTTCTGTTACGTTAGAAATCTACACTTCTAATAATGTAGTTCATTGAATTCTGATCATTATAATACACATTACGAGGAAAGCCAGTTAACTTGGTAATTCAAAACAATCTCAAACTTCCCTTCAAAGTTACTGAGTGGTGAGGTTTTTAGTATAGTTGTATCAACACATGCAAACCTGTTGGATCCATATTGTCCGTAAAACATTTTATTTGAAGTTATGCTCTTCAGGAAGGTCAATCAGCGAAATCAAAAGCTTGTATTTTTTTGTCTGAGGGCAAAGTCGTATTGGTGACAAAATTAGTGTAACAGCAGTAAGGTGTTTCCTAAGCATAACCTGAAATAATAAATATCTTTTAACTCTCAAAAGAAGTTATTAAAATAAGGAATCCTAAAAATTTTCTCAGTGTTGAGAGTTTCTGAAAATATCGTCAAGAATGATGGATAAAACTGCCTTTTGGTAGATGTGCTTTGGGTTCTCAGATCACTATTCCACATCAATGAAACCTCTAGTGCCAAATATATATGGAATTAACCTTCCATGGTATGAGAAGCCAAGCAATTCTAGCCAGCTCTTCTTCTACAACATTACTCGAATGGATTTTGATAACCATCAACACTTTTCCTTCTTACCTTCTGAGTTTCCTCCTACCCATAACCCGACACTATCTTCAACACTTTCCATTTCTGCACCATTTACTAACGATTTGAAGGTACGGAATGATATCCTCCGATCCTGAATACGTTTTCAAAGCTATAGTTCAATTTCCGGAGTCTAAACCGCAAGTCAAGCAAAAAGCCAAAACTCTTGAATCTCAAGTTATGCGTTTTCGGTGCTTTTCTGAGGTTTACACTCAGAAACTAAGTTTAATTATTTAGTTGCCACCATTTAATCACTGTAGTTAGTTTGTATCTATTCATACCTCCGATATCTAGCTCTATGGCAATTTTCTGCAGTTTTCCGAGGGTTACAGCATCATCTACAGTCGAAATTGAACTTAGGAGATTTCTGTGTCATTTGACAAAGTAGTAAGGTAACAACTAACAAGAATCACGATACACAATTATTTTGTTTTGTGTTCTCTTCCAATCCACTCGCAGACAGCATTTCAAACAAACAGAAAGGTGAGTTCTGCTGATAGCAGTACAACCTCCTACAAGAGGTCAAGTTCTTAGAGGTGGTAGTGACTGGGAAAAATTAAAGCTAAGCCATGCAAGAAAGTGTTTGCAGGCAATTTAGTTGGGAGGCTTGTGGGGCTTCATTGATTTCAAGTTGGCATTCACCATGGACTGAAACTAGTTGAAGAACCATTGAAAACCTTGGAGCTTTGAGATGAGGTTTCCCAAAGTTCTAGTGCGAATTTGTGACCGGTCAGGTAGACCAAGTTAGATGTGAGAACAAATACTTCACAATGGCATTGGATGAAGACCTCGCTACATCAGGAATTGAGGGAGGCAGGAAAGTGTGGACCATCGGATTCCAACCTCTTGGCTTAGTGGTAACGTGCTTGCCGTGGGGACTGGAAGTCCCGGGTTCGATTCCTGGCAGAACAATGGGTTCGCACTGTCGAGAAGTCTCACACTAGGACAAGATGGGTGTCTAGTGCTCTCGGGTTTAGCTAGTCCTCTAAATGATATCAGTCCGTTAAGAATGCCAACTTGAAGTTACAGGTAATTTTGAAGTCCCAACCAGTGAAACAATAGTAATGATGTTTACCACAGCTACTTTTAGCCAGCAATCGATTCCTAAAGAAAATAACTTTAAACATCTTAGGAACTTTGTCTCATCTCTTAGCTATTGAGCTCAGCAGTCGATGAAAGTAGATCAATTGTACAAGTTACCGCTGAAGTCCGTCAAATTTGCCGTTGACTCTGAAGCAATACTTTATGATTTATTGAAGGTCTCTGAAATCTCAACTAACAGCTGAAGACATCAAGGTGTCATTTAAGGGGAAACTAATTACTCGGCTAGAGAGATATGTTAAGGTTTCCAGACAGCTATAAAAAAAAGCCCGTATATCCTGAGAATGGTTCCATCCTTTCCGAGTAATAATATTTGGTCGTGAATGTTTCGTTAAGCACTTTCTTGATGATTAAACATCTATGACTAAATATCAGGGCTCAGATAAAACTGTAACACTGTTATACAAAATTCCACTACTAATCAGTTGTATAGCTGCGGGTCAGTGATTTAGGGAGATGATAATTAGGCATTGGGTTACAAGCCCGAGCTCCGCCCCACTTACTCAGCCCTCACACAATATGTGTGGATCATTCCTTACTGCATGGGTGTTCATAGAAAATGTCTTGCGTGAGGGCTGGGATACTACCCGAGTGCCCAGACCGGAGGAGGTGGTTGTCTTGGGGGACCAATCCCCAAGCCTCTGACTAGTCAATGAGGCAGTGGAGCAACATCCGGAGCTGAATTCCTATGGTTGCCGGTGGCTAAAATAGGTTCGTACGCCATTAGTTTCATCTGGAGATGAGAAGGTATAGCATTGAAGTGCTAGGAATCTGCGAAAGCAGGTGGAATGGAAGTGGACTCTCCAAACTGTCAACTGGAGAATTAATAATCTACTCCAATATTCTCATCCAGACGACAACCAAGAAAACACTGAGGGAGTGGCTATCATGATGTCCTCAACAGCATCGAAGGCTCTCATACAGTGGGAACCAATCTCCTCCAGGATCATAACAGCAAGGTTCAAGTGAAAAGGAAGGAAGGTCACAATCATACAATGCTACACTACGCACCTAAAAATAATGCAGAGCAAGAGAAGAAGGAGGAATTCTACAGACAACTGCAATCAACACTGGACAAGACGTCAGTTGGCGATATCAAAATCCTAATGGGCGACATGAATGCTAAACTGGGAGCAAACAACACAAGAAGAGAACTAACCATGGGTCGAGAAGCGCTCGGTGAAATAAACGAGAATGGAGGATTGTTTGCAGACTTCTGTGCATTCAACGATTCGGTGATTGGAGGTAGTGTGTTCAAGCACAAGGATATCAACAAAGCTACATGGATTTCACCAGATGGACACACTAAAAATCAAACCGACTTCATCTCAATCTCAAGAAAATGGAAACGCAACCTAATTGACACAAGGTCAAGAAGAGGAGCAGATGTAGGTTCAGACCACTATCTAGTGCAAGGAACCTTCCAAATCAAGTTAAAAGCCATCAAAGTACCTAGTGATAGACCTCAATTCAAGTACAACACTCGGAAACTGAAGGACAAAACTACAAAGGAGATCTTCAAAGCAGCCATCAAGACAAAATGGGAGACATCGAGCAACATCCCTGAAGAAACCTGTGTGGAAGAACACTGGAAGTCTTTGAAAGCTATATGGAAAGAAACCTGCACAGCCGTATTAGGAAGGAAGAAGAAAGAAGACAAGGAATGGATCTCGACGGATACATGGAAGCTGATAGAGGAGAGGGGGATGGTGAAGCAGA